CGGTTCAGCTGTGACACTCGATGTCTAGCTGTCATGCCACTCAAAGGGAGCACGAGGGCTGGGATACTTCCAGCTTGTCCACGCATAGACAAGATAAGTCGAGATGCAGAGGTCGGTTGCGGTCAGTCATTTCTCACCCGGTGAGTGAGAGAACTTGGAACCGGTCTGACTCGAGACGACAGAAATCTGGACCAGAAAGTTTCGGCGGCCATAAGTGCACATAGTGCACTCGCTGTCCTTTTCGGCCCTTAGCACGGTTGGTGGACCAACTGCTGTACACGGCACGTCATCAATAATACAGTAGGACCGAGCATGTCCGGCTTCGGTAGCCCAAACTTGTGTGCACTGTTCATCCACACTATGTGGTCAAAAGAGAAAACGAGAAGGCGGATACTAACGTTCGTGCTTGGGTGGTACGACACGCTTGTCTGGTGCGCTATCGGCTTTCAGATTGAGCTGCCTTCCTACGAACTGAGGTAAATGGTGAACAGATGTCGGTGACGTTGGAACGTGTACAACATGCACGTTTGTTGAATGCAGCTTTTTGGTTGGAGGCTTTACCGGTTTGATCCAATATAGGACTTCCTTATTTGAAGGATACACGAGGAATATAGCAAAGGTTGGTACGTCGTGACACATTTTCAGACATTCAGGTGTTCCCACTTAAGTGGGATCCATTGGACGCTCACATCGAGCAAAACAACCCCAGGAGTTAGATATCGGTAAACACGATTAAAGTTGATTCACCGGGATACGATTTTCATATACTGACATTTTGTTCTCGTTAAGTTTGATTTCTGTGGTACCTCAACCCTCGTTTTTCCTTCGGGTGGCAACTAAGCACCGAAAGGGTGTTACAGCTTAGTGGCTGTTCTTATTTATTTACTTCCACCAATTCACCCTGGCTGGAGACGGCGCAATGAATGACGACGGGGAGGCTGTGAATCTGCATCACCCGTGGCGTAGGCCTGACATCAGCTTATCCGTCAAGAACTGAGTATACAATGCTGCAGTGCGCTACATTTTGTTATACAGGTTATCAACCTGCTCGCTGCGCGCTGAGGACGTCAAAAGTCTTTCGGTGTTTGACCATCGATGTTCTGAGGGCATTGCCCGAGTCTAGCGGGCGCTGCGCGCGACGTCAAAAAAAAGTCCGTGTTTGACCATCGATGTTCTGAGGGCATTGCCCGAGTCTAGCGGGAAAACCAGTGTGATTAATGATGTCTACTCAGTTATCACTCTTCTGATGCGAATCTTCCATTAGAACTCCTGCGTTTTTTGACTCACTAGTCAGGAATAGTTCCCGAATATTTATCACACTTATTTCGTACTTGAGCGTTCGTTTGGTGTGCGATGTTGGAATATCACTCTTTCTGAACAGTTGTTTTGGATTCGCGAAAAATAAATCCCATGTTTCGTAGTTATCGCCGGTTTTCGTACCGATAACCACTCAAATGAAGCGGAGAGATGCGTTCGTGATAGATCACACGACTGTTTTGTAATTTAGCGGGTAGTAGGCAACGTACACTGGATTTTGATACCGCACAAAGGTAACAGGTTTTATCCAAATTGAGTTTATGGAGTACATCGTCAGTTTCCGTATCCGTGGAACAAGTTGTGATCGTGATCACTAACTCTCGTTTACTCAGACTCTCACTTACATGACAGATTTCTTATCATACACAGTGCTTGGCGGAAAACACCACCCATATCCAAAACGTACGAAGTGAAATTTTGAAGAGTCTGATCCTATTGAGGGATCTACCTTAGAGTATGTCCTCTTTGGGGCGAGATGGCTCAGTGGTTAGAGCGCGAGTTTGCTGACCAGAAGGTCCGTGGTCCGAACCCGACATCTGCTTCTCGACTTCCCCTGTCTAGGCTTGGGCAACCTGCCAGTATCCCAACCCTCATGCCTTCCTTCTTTGGCATGGCAATTGGGCACCGGAAGGTGCTACATCTGAACAATGTCCTCGTTAGCTGACTTTATCCTATCGCTGGCTATATCCTTGGTTGTTGTTCTGTTCACCGAGACTGGCAGTTGCAGTGCACTGGCAACAGACCAAGAACCCGCTCCACGTATACCCTACAGTATCTTCGCTGGTTATGTCCACTTCGTAGTCATCACTCAGTGGATAAGATGCGAAGCAATGTATTCATAGGCCGCCTACGGTTGAGTTTGTGAACCACGGGGGAAACTTGTGGAATCACCCATGTCCCTCATGATTACTGAGTCTCCGGTAGTTGGAGCTGGTTAATTTTCGGTCAGCATCTGACGGAAAGTTTAATCACTGTTTCAGCTGTAAACCATTTACCGAAATACAGTGGTCTCACCTGCTCCCTGAGAAACAGAAGAATAAGGGGATGACAGCAACGCGTGGGAGATGATATCTGAGTCAATCGATTGACGTTAAACTGTTTGGTTGTACGATTTATCGGGGATTGAGAAAGCTGTGAGAATCAGAAGAATAAGGGGACGACAGCAACGCGTGGAAGATGATATCTGAGTCAATTCATTGACGTTAAACTGTTTGATTGTACGATTTGTCGGGGATTGTGAAAGCTGCGCAGTGCATTCAGCAACTTTGATGAAGGATTCCCGTGCTGTGTGACGTATCTATATGTATCAGGATAATTAAATATTCGTTTATATCAACACGGCAGTTATCAAAGCGACTGTTGACGAATTTCATGTTTCGTTAAGAAGTCACGGACTGATAACCCATGAGCCGCCTTCGCTTGGTGCAGAGGACCCTCCGAGGCAAACGATCCTCTAACATACGAGTTACATTGCCTTACCGACGCAACCTACACAGGATGACCAGCTCAACTACCAAGGTGTCTGCCATTCCTGAGGAACCACCAACCGTATCTCAGAGTTACTTATCTGTTGTTTGCATCATATCCGCGTGATCCTTGTGATACGCGGTTAGTGAAACAAAGTGTCTGCGTGCAACGGCTCTCTCTGGTCCGTTAATTAGGACCGGTCAAGTCACAGCACTGCACAGTCTACCACTGAGAGTCAAACTGATGTCACGTAGGTGCCATAAATTCTGCGGATTGGCAAGTGCTTTCCCGGTCTTCCCGATTAGTAAAGTGGCTTCGTCCTCTACCAGCTCACCGAGACTCATTCAGTTGTTCGGATAGACGGATGATCTATTACATATTCAGTTCGGATAGACGGATGATCTATTACATCGATCGGGTTTCATCCCATGCAGTCTTGCAGTAGTATTTTACACTTTCCATGTGTGAAACACATGCCGAACCATGCGGAGAAATTACTTTGGTTGGTTAAGGTTTTTTGAGTTTCCAAAGGACCCGATTCGCAGAGATTGATATCGTTCAAGAGGCGGGTAGAAAAGCCACATTCAACACTGGTTACGAACAAGGTCGGTAGGGGGCTCTGTTGCCTTACATCATTGGGTGTGGTGAACTCAGGGGAGAGCTTGTTGCAGACAGGCACCAGTCCACGGGAGATGTTAGCCTTCAAAGAACGTAAGAATTTAGAGAGGACGCTTTTCATCGCTGTAGACTGCCAGACGTTTTGATAATATTCGCAGTCAAAAGCAGATTGCCACTCCAAAAGCGACAGATCTGACTACATATGAAACCCAGAACTTATAATACTATCGGTTTGTTAACTTGGCGTAAAAGCACTATAGGATGACAGGTCTGCAGGATAAAATGATGGGAACAGCGCCAGAATCTAGATGATATTTTACGGCCTGGTCATCTCAAAGCTCCTATACTTCATTTCGCTAC